GCGTTTTCACTTTCAGTGTGCATAGACAAATTACTTGTCATAATAATAAAGCCAGACTGCTTTGTTGCATTTCTCTACACCCATTAAATCACATAATTGTTTCATACTTGGCAAAATCTCAGAGCAAAAAATAGCAAGCCTCATCACAGAAACCATCAAGAGGCTAATGATTACAGCTGAATAATACCGCCTGACTTGTATTTAATAGACTTCCTGTATGTCACACACAGCGCAGTGTGCCTAAAACGCATTTGGCCTCATTAAATATTCAAAAACTTCATCAAATATTGTCAGAAGTGTGATTATGTGAAGACAGCCGTGCCCACTTAAGGCTAACAGACAAGGCAAGAAGACATTGTAACCATTTCAACCAGCTACTGAAGTGCATCTACATGCATCGTCATACTGCATCCATTCGTTCATCCATCCATCACTATACGGAATATTGCACAAAACGGCCCTCTCTGTCAGATTTGGCACTGCAATACTGATGAACAAATGAAAACAAGCAGATTCTCTTTCCTGACATAAAGAATTGGATTAAATCTCAAAGTTTACACAAGATGTACAGATTATGAACGCAATATATGACAGCTTGAGGAAGGAAATCATACACTTGCGCTGGACATAAACACTTCAAGTATGCAATAGACAAATAAAACCCAATGTTCAGTGCATTTAATGACATAAAGCACAGTTTCAGCAATGGCATTTAGATTCTCTTAGTCCTTATGAAATTCAAATAGAATCAGTATAGTCTATATAACATTGCATTCATATATTATAATATGAAATTTGATGTAAAATATCATACTTAAAACAAGGTTTACACGGATTTACGTGATAACTTGTGAATTATGAATCAGTACACTCTATATGAAATATTATATGAATATATCAGAATATCAATATAATCTGTCATCTGCATAGACTATATTTATATGCACTGAAAATTATTTTAAAAGATGATTTATTATGCAAAACAAGACAAATAAAACCCTGAGTCCATTTAAAGTCTTGCAGATATAAAAAATCAAGAGAAATTATATATTTATATACATGTGAATTTGCATGCCCAGAAGATTATAAGCTTTTATGTGGATTTGTAACTTCTATATGAAATATTAAACTTTTATTCATATTATAATATATTCATATAGGCCTAGTATATGTGAAACAGTACATGAATTGATATGAACTAATAATAATACGTTTAGTCTATGAACTATATTATGCACTGGACATTTTTCTTTGATTTTTTTTTAAATATCAATTTTAATATGATTAATATATGCATATGCACATTATAAAATAGATTATTTATATGACCAATATGACATATAGACTAAATATCTTCCATGAAACATTTCGTCTCATTTAGTCTCATTTGACGGTTATATCAGAGGGTGGCGTGTTGAATATTAATATTCCAGTCTCACATTCCCAGCAGTTGGATGAGTTTATCCTTCACAGGTGTCAAAACGGCAGAAATCTCGCTCACCTTTCCCGCACCCCTCCGCTCCCGTGGCGTCGGACGCGCTCGGCGTCTCCTCGTCGCCCTCGAACAGCTGGTTCACTTCACCCTGGATGCCACCGGCGGTCACCGTGAACCTCTGGCTCATGCTGTCGCCCGGTGGCTTGAAGCGGACTGACGGGGAACGAATGAACGCGGCTTCGCTCTCTTCACCGGCTCCAGCTGGAGGAGTTCGCCGGTGATGCAGATGTGCGCCGGTCCGCGGTAATCAGCCCGGTCTCTGGTAGGACTAGTGTTAATACAAGAGCATAAACGTGTGTAACGTGTCCGGTTGAGACGTGCGTTTTATTGTTCTTTGATAACAGACATTGAATGAGTCAGTCTCGAGCGGATCATCAACCGGTGTCTTGAGACTCACTGCACATCCGGGTCCTAAAGCCCGCGAGCGATCGATCAATCACAAACATTGATCAAT